TCCTCACATGGCTGTAATTGACGCTCTCGAAGACCATCCTTTCACATGTCATTGGCTCAGTTCATTCTTATCAGGTGTGGGACAAAGCTCATGAGTATTTTAACACTCAAACTAAAGCACGAGCACGTTAGCTCCGCACTGATTTGTGTTCTACCACTCTTGATGGTAAATCCATGCGTGAATTTTTGACTCAAATCAAAAACATTGTTGATGAACTTGCTGGAGTTGGAAGTCCTGTGTCACTTGAAGAATATGTCAATGCTCTTCTTGAAGGTCTGCCACAAGAGTATGCACCTGTGATCTCTGTTATTGAAAGTAAGTTCATTACCCCTCCTATTGCTGAAGTGGAAGCTCTTCTCCTTGCCCATGAGTCAAGAGCTAATAGGTTTCGTAAGCAATCTTTTTCTCCTTCTATTAATTACACTCAAGGTTATTCTCGTGGGGGTGTTAGTAATGGATCTTTTAGAGATCGAGGGGGTGGTAACAGTGGATGTCATGGTGGTAGAGGTTCTAGAAGAGGCCATGGTAGTCGATTTGCAAATTTTCAATGTCAGATTTGCTTCAAGTATGGACACACTGCCAATATTTGCTTCTATAGAGCTAATGTCAATTATCAACCTGCAGACTTCCTTGTCTTGTATGATCCTACCACACTGCAATTTGTGCAGGTCACCTCTTCATCAAACATTAAAGCCTCCAATACTTGGGTGAATCCTAATTAGAAACAGCTCAGCCAAGATGCTCATGCCAATGCCACAACAAGTGCTATGATTGCTAATACCTCTTCTCAAGGAGCTACTAATTCTATATGGATCCCTGATTCTGGTTCTTCGATCCATGTTACTGGTGAACCTCGGAACATCCATCAACTAGAGCATTTTGATGGTCCAGACCAAATCTTCATAGGAAATGGTCAAGGTTTGCAAATCAATGGTTTTATCTCCTATTAACTCCTAATTTAGTTTTTAGTTGAATAATCTTCTTCATGTTCCTTTTATCACCAAAAATCTATTGAGCGTAAGTAAATTTGCTAAAGACAATTGTGTCTTCTTTGAGTTTCATGTTGATCATTGTTTTGTCAAATCTCAGGAAACTAATGAGGTTCTTTTTCAAGGTATTGTTGGTGTTGATGGGCTTTATTCTTTTCCAAATTTAAAGCTCCAAAGTCCCTCAGTGTTGGTCTCTTCTTCAGCTAAAATGTCCTCCTAGTCTACTATCTCCCCTACTATTACTACAGTTTTAGATAATACCAATGTAAATAAAAATTCTGATGTATCTAGCTTTTCCACTATGTGGCATACTAGGCTAGGTCATCGTAATTCTCATGTTCTTAAGCTTGTTCTTACTCAATGTAACCTTCTTCCATCAAATACATATGTTATAGAATTTTGCTCATCTTGTTGTGTAGGAAAGTCTGATAGACTTCCTTCTTCTGCCTCTAAAACTGTATATTCTACCCTCTTGGATTTAATTTTCACTGGTTTGTGGGGACCATCACATATTAAATCCTTTTTCTGGATATATTTACTATGTTTCCTTCATTGATGCTTTCTCTAAATACACCTGGATATATCCCTTAAAGTCGAAATGTGAAACTCTCTCTGTTTTTCAACAATTTAAGGCTATGGCTAAACTTCAATTCAACACCAAAATTAAAAGTGTTAAATCGAATTGGGGAGGGGAATACAAAGCTTTTACTACATTTCTTGCCACAAATGGAATAGAACATAGATTGATTTGTCCCCACACACATCATCAAAATGGTGTGGTTGAAAGGAAACATAGGCATATTGTTGAAATTGGCCTTACTCTTCTTCATCATGCCTCCTTACCTCTGTAATTTTGGGATTTTGTTTTTACCACTACAGTTTATCTTATCGATAGATTACCAACTTCAACATTAAATTTTAATGTTCCTTTCACTGTTTTATTCAATAAATCACCTAATTACAAATTTTTAAGAACATTTGGTTGTGCTTGTTTTCTCTTCTTAAGACCATATGCCAGTCTTAAACTTCATTTCAGATCCAAGGAGTGTGTTTTTCTGGGATACTCAAACTCTCACAAAGGTTATAAATGTCTATCCTCTTCTGGCAAAATTTACATTTTAAAAGATGTTATTTTTAATGAACATAGGTTTCCTTATTTAGATCCATTTCAGCCAAGTTCTACTCAAAATGTCTCTCCTTGTCAATACTTCACTCTCAATCCGGATTTGTCTCCTCCTTGCACTAATTCTCTTATTTTCTCACAGCAGCCTCCTTTTTCTTCTCAAGACAATGATCCAGGTGTCTCAAACAGTCTCACAGTGTCCTCTTCACATAATGTGTCTCCTTCATCTAATGAGTCTTCCTCACATAATGTATCTTCTCCTGCCTCTTCCACTGACACAGATAATGTTCCTAGAACCATTAATAATCATCCCATGCAAACCTGTTCTAAATCTTCATTTCATAATCCTCGGCTACATCCATCCTTATTCTTGGTTCATAGTGAACCTAAAAGTATTAAGCAAGCTCTAGCTAATCCTAATTGGTTCTCTACTATGCAGCAAGAATACACTGCCTTAATACACAATCATACTTGGGATTTAGTTCCCTTGCCATCTGATAGAAAAGCAATGGGGTGTAAATGGGTTTTCAGAGTCAAGGAAAATGTTGATGGCTCTATAGATAAGCTTAAAGCTCGGCTGGTTGCAAAAGGTTTTCATCAAGTCCATGGCTTTGATTTTTATGAGACATTTTCTCCTGTTATTAAACCCATAACTAATAGAATCATTATCACTCTTGCTCTTACCTATAATTGGGAATTATTTCAGCTGGATGTGAATAACTCCTTTCTTAATGGCACTTTAGAAGAAACTATTTACATGGTTCACCCCTTGGTTTTGAAGTTGAAAATAAAAATCTGGTCTGCAAGCTCAACAAGGCACTATATGGCTTGAAACAAGCCCCTAGACAGTGGTTTGACAAACTAAAATTGACTCTTACTCAATTTGATTTTCAAGCTAGTAAATGTGATCCATCTCTGTTTTGGTACAAACATCAAGCTCATACCATCTTTATTATGGTTTATGTGGATGACATCATTATTACTAGCAGCTTTTCTTCCCTTATTCAACAGATTACCAATCAACTTGAATCCATATTTTCTTTGAAGAAATTGGGAAGCTTGGATTACTTTCTAAGTATTGAGGTTAAATACTTGCCTGACAAATCTCTGGTTTTGACTTAAAGCAAGTATATTCGGGACCTTCTATTTAAAACCAATATGGCTGAAGCTCATTCTGTTCCTTCTCCTATGATCTCTACTTGCAAATTGTCCAAGTCTGGGAATGACTTATTTCATGATCCAACCCTTTTTAGATCTGTTGTTGGTGCCTTACAGTATGCTACACTCACAAGACCTTAAATAAGTTTTGTTGTTAACAAAGTTTGTCAATTCATGGCTAATCCTCTTGACTCTCACTGAGTGGCTGTCAAAAGAATCCTAAAGTATCTAAAGGGCACACTCTCTTATGGTCTTCATATGCAGCCTGCTATAGTAGGCAGTCCCATCTCTCTTACTGCTTTATGTGATGCTATTGATGACAGGAGGTCCACCTCTAGATCTGCTATCTTTTCTGGACCCAATTTGATATCATGGCGGTCCAGAAAATAGCGAGTTGTTGCTTAGTCCAGCACAGAAGTTGAATATCGCAGTATAGCTCAAGCTTCTGCTTAGTTAACTTGGATTCAAGCTTTTCCACAAGAACTTAAGGTTCCCTTATCCACACCTACTTTGCTCTATGACAATCAAAGTGCAGTGGCTATTGTGCACAATCCTATTTTTCACAACAAAATAAAGCACATGGAGATTGATGTGTCCTTTGTTCGTGACAAAGTTATATCCAAGCATCTTTTAGTTTATCACATACCAGCTTTGGATCAATGGGTTGATTTACTTACTAAGCCTAGCCTTTGTCTGCTACTCGTTTTGAAGTTCTTAAAGGCAAACTCAATGTGCGAAGTTTTTGTGACAAACCTTTGCCTTGAGTTTGAGGGGGGCTATTAGTGTATAAAACCAAAACAAAAAGGGAATATTTGTTTGTTAGCCTTTTTTACTTTTTGCATTCTGTTACATCTTCAGAATATTCCAAGGACACCTGTCTAGACACCTGTCCTTTATTTTCTCCCTTTGTTGTTGCTTTTACAGTTGCTACTTTTACAACTGTATTACTTTTTTATTTTCTCTCTCTGTTGTTGCTTTTACTACTGTAGTACTGAGGGGTTTCCTATATATATTTGAACCTATGTATTCATTGATAGTGTAAATGAAATGAAGTTCCTTTTTACATTTTTATCTCTTTCTACTTTTATCTAATATGGTGAGATCAAAGTGTTTGTCAATAAAACTTTGAATTAAGAACTAAAATCAAACTTTGAACTTTATGGGGACTAAAATCAAACTTTTAATTGAGTAAAATCAAACTTTTGGATTTTGTGAGGAGTAGAACCAAACTTTAAATTCTATAGGGACTAAAATCAAACTTTAAAAGAAATTGATTGCCACATCACCCAAAATGACCACATATACAGTGCTAATATCACCATTAGTTATATCGACGACATTAGTGACTAGAGTTTAATGCGACACATTTTTGAAAATAGGAAACCCAAAGTCGACAATTTTAAAAGGAGAGACTAAAAGAGAACTTTTATATTTTTATAGGAGCCAAAAAGATATTTAACCCTATATTTTTCTTTGGGAGGAATACTTGCAATACTCTCTTTAACACTCTTGCTAACATTTTTTTAATTATTAATTGGAACTTATTGAAAATCACATTTTGTGAATTTCTCATCTCTTTTAATGACTCTCTTAATTTAATGGTAGGACCTACTAAAATTTATGATTTTCAACCAAAATATTAGCATGAGGTCGATTTGCTAACAAAATTGTTATCATGGATTCAAGTTCCTGATGGACTCTACATGGACAATGTATTTAGTTATCTTAGCTATTCAAAATTATAAATCTGTACATATATAGTAAAATTCAGTCAAGGATAATACAATGTACAAGTCTACCTTTGACATTTAACAATAACAGCTATGAAACATAGGAGCTTTTCAGAATATGGTGAATTCTAGAAAAGATCATTAACTTGAGATTGTTTGTTGAACCTTAATTGTACAAAAGCCACATTGTCATGCAGGCACAGACATCACAATGCTAATATGTTGAAGAATTCACAGCAGGGCAATGAGGCACTAACTTATGCTGTACATTTTTCTAAGCATTGCAGAAATGAAAAAGCAAAGGCAGAACAATCACATTCATGAAAGTGCTTACAAATACATTTGCCTTCTTCACATAGAATGCCAGAAACCTCTCCTCACCTTCCTCCGGAAAGGTTTACAGGCCTCGATACTGAGGTCAACAGCTGCCGCAAGCGCCATGAAGATGGCAGCATCCTCCACACACGTCACATGTCGCATTGCCAGTTGTACTAACGGTTTACTCCGCTTCCCTTCACCTTGAACCCTACAACTCATGACGAAACCTCCAACCATTGGACTCAGCGCACCAAAGTCTCCACTGCTTTGTGGACTAGGTATTGGACTTGCTGCACTGGTTGCAGTTCGCACGTGTTTCTCAGTGTCTATGAAAAACTCTCCACCTTTTTCAGCACTTATGTGTATTTCAGACATAAGAAGTTCACCCCCCTCTTGGGCTTCAGATAGAAGATGGAATCTGCAGCAAACAGTGTCTCTAATGCCACGCTCACGCCATGCTTCGAGCTTTCCCCATGGCTGCCAGCTCTCAGATCTACCTATGTCGGGACGAACAATCAACCAAGATCCTGGGTTGGATCTGGCAACCCAATCACAACCTGAAGATGGAACAAAGGGAGTTGTTATGAAGGCTGCAGCTACAGCTGAGCCAGAGAGATCATGTATTGTCACCTTCCACCCCTTTCTTTCTCTCCTCTCTGTCTCTAAATCAGAAATGTCAGCAGAACCTGACCAAGCGCTCAATGGGTCAATCTGGGAAACCCTGTCATTTCATAACTATCAAAAGTTTTATTAATAACAGTTCTTTAGATGAATGTTGCACGTCTTACAGATATCAGGTCCAACTGACAAAGAAACAACGAAGAAAACATGCTACAATTTTTTTCCACTTGAAATATTGATTGAGAATGATTTAATTCCTTGGTCCCAAAATCAGGCCTCGGGCTCTTATGAAGAGAAGTTAACTACATCAGTCCACACAGACATTTAGGTACAAGTGTTTTGTCCATGCTTCAAAATGCAAAGACAAGTTTACTTAATTACTCCCTTCGTCCCAAATTGACTGCAGAGTTCTAACATTTGAAAATGGTTCCAAAATGACTGATATTTCCACCTTTCAAAGTAAATTTTCATAAATTATTCAACCACTACCATTAAAAGTAGTGCATTTATTGAGAGAGTGAGACTAATTTAGTAAAATTGTATCAAAAACTGATACATTTACTATTGTTCTTAATATGCGCATAAAAACCTTGAGCTACAATTGTTTTGGAACGGAGGGAGTTTGTTGATCAAAGAAAAACTTTGTACAAAATAATATTGATTTCAATTTTAAAAATTAAATGCAAGTTAGTTGAGAACAACCAAATCATGACTTTTAAAGATTTCAGAACAGTAAACATTATTGAAAGTAAAATAGAACACAATTTTCATATCACCTGTCCTTACTAAACTTGCAGCTGAAGATTGGCTGCTTGATGGATCCTTGCAGTTGAACTATCTGAGGACTCAATGTTGTTATATCTTCAAACTGGAACACATATCTAGGGTCAGAATCTAATTTCACTTTTAAATGTAGCTGCGCACCCGGCTTTCCATGATCCTGTTTGTTCTTGCCAATGCCTATCCATCCGTTAAAGAGAATCAACGGCTTTCCTTCACCCCATTCGGGGCCAACCTGCATCTTAAAAATACCAATTTGCTGCCTTTTAATGCCAACTCCACAATGGGATCCCTTCCTCCCTGAAAACACAGCAATCTCCAAACAAGCTTGAGTGTTGTAGAAACAACCAGGAGCTAACAATGCTTTTAAGTCAGATTCCTCAAGGTAAAAGCTAGAAGCAATGTTCTGAGTATCAGGTATAACATCTGTGGAGGATATCACGGGCACTGATGACGTTTGAACAGGAAAACCTCGAAGCCGTATCTCACAAACACAAGGTAAAGAGAGTGTTTGAATTCCAGATTTTTCAGTGCTCAGCTCAATTCCGGTGCATCGCAACCCCAGAGAACCTATTGACAGCCTAATGAAGGCCTGGGGATCCATATTTGTCACAATTGTCCCCCCATTGTTTTAAAAGTGCTATTTTCACAAAATTCAGATTCCCTGAGAATTATAAGACGAAAAGAAAAATCAATTCAGGAATAAAGAGAAAATTAAGTATGTGTTTGTTTGATTAGAATTAAAAAAGTAACAGCTTTCACATGTTTGTCTCATGTATGTATTGGTTTTTCATAATTCTTTAAAAGCTTGAATACTTCACTAATATGTATCGGTGAAGTATCCAAGAATATCAATATCAAAAAAGATTTTCATAAATTTTTTAAAAGATTGGATACGTTATTGATTCGTATCAGTGAAATATCCAAGAATATCGGTATCAAATACATGCTGGATAGAGATACATAAAGCAAATTGGAGTATTGGTGTTTCATATCATAGAAGCATTAGAACAAAATCCAGAGACAGAAAAATGCAATAAAGTGGAAAAAGCAATAGTATATCACAATATATTGCTCAAACATTTCTTCATCATATCAAAGTCAACCAATATAACAGAATTGCCAGAGGGCTATTATACAATGTAGATAGATATTAATCCTAATTAATTTTTCAGCAAATATACTTTATCAATCCCTAAAATAAACATGCCTTGGAACAAGCCAACAGAATAAAAAACTTGCAATACTTTTCTAAGTGAATATCTTCAGAAACTATTCTTGAACTTAACCTTCTAATTTTTAGTACAAACTTTATTTGCATTAGCAATGCTTGATTTCAAAACTTCTACTCCAGATGAAGGTGCCATGTTTACTTTTCAGGTTTTTCACATTTCTCTTTTTTCCCACAAAAGGAGGCTATCCTTCTCTAAATGTTTTACCATTTAACAGTTTGATTATCTCATAAGTAAACAAATCTCATGAATACAACTTTTTTCTGTTGAGTTGAGATACTAAAAATCAACTCTTTTAAAAGCTTAAGTTGTTAGATAACACATGAATGGCTTTGTATCTCCAAGACTTCAGGTCTGAGGTGTGGAAATGAAAACAAAATGTTACTTGTTTGAAATTTAACTTAATTACAGAAAATAAGGGTAATAAGGTTGACCACTTGGTTAAAAGTTTCGATAACATCTATGCAAAACAACTCTCATTAAAATGTTTGACTTCATAGTATATGGCTATATGCAGTACAATAAAGGCTGGAGGTTGTAAATCATTCACAAAAAATTAATCTGAATAGAACTTAGAGTGAAAAAGGAAAGGACAGCTAAGAAGCATGAGAGAAGATTCAATGTCATCAAGCACTAAAGGCTTTGAATGGAAGCAATCATTTATTGTTCTGTCGAATAAGCGGCTTAAAATTACTGTATCAAGTATGTCATTCTCTAATGAGTAAAGGTTCATTTCTTAGCAAATGAAGATAGAATATAAGCTGGCTTTTCAAGGGGGATAAATTCTGATGACAGTATACACCTAGCAATCTGTTAGGTCACCAATCAGATAAATTCTTCATTTTTCTTTCAAATCAAGCAAAGATATATGGATCAAACAAAATTAACTTAAGAGCAAGACACATTGGTAGAAGAAAAGGAAATTAACAGAATCAAATAACTGCTCAGGTTGGTTCAAAATCATTTGGAAGTTAGTTAAGAGGCAACCCTCTTCTTTGTTAAAAGCCCCAACCCAACCACATGTTTATATACAAATCTTTTTCAGTTGGCTCATATTTGGTAAAAAAAATTAATTTCACTTTAGACCTAACAAGTCCCTGTCTAAATATTTGGTAAATGAATAATAATAAAATGGCCATGACAATCATGCCCCCAACAACCCTCTCTTCAACCTACGAAGACTTGCATTTTCAGGAACTAAGAGCACTTCCCAATCAAGAAACTTCTTACAAGTGTGTGTACGTATAGTGAAGTGAGAAGCTACAAGTATAACTAACCTCAACAAACTCAAGCACCCCTTAGATCAAAGAATTGAGCTAACAAAACCGAATAAACAACTTAAGCAAACCAACAACCACAAATTCAAGCACATGAGAATTTTTGTTGCAATGAAGTTAAAAACTGTTGCAGAAGCAGTCAATTGTGATGATGTGAACACCTGTCAACAACCCAATCCAAGCCCAAAATTGCATTACACAAAAGCAGCAGGTTGAACACAAGAACAAGAAACAGAACAAAACAAAAGTCAAAGTCATAACACACACTAAAATGTAACTTGCAATCACCTAGTTGACATATAATGCACCAAACTCCCTCAACCTTTCACTCAAAGGACTCAAACCTCAAAAATTACATTGGCTCAGCTTCACATACAAAATAAAAAATACCATAAGGACAAATATATAAAATAAAATAAAATAAAATAAAAACCCCAGAAAGAAAAAAAGGGTTTTTAAGATGACACACGCAAAACCCAACTCAAAAATCTCACCTTTTGCACCCTCCAAATCCCAAAACTTGAAAAGGGTTGTTCCTAAGAGAAGGGTGTTGAACAAAGAAAGGAAGAAAATAGGGAAAAGGAGAAAGAAGGCATATGCAGTTGATGATTGTGCACGGATCACGAGGATAATTAACCAAAAATCACTGAAATGTTTGCGCAATCTCTCTTTGTGGCATACTTTTGTGTTTTTTTTGAATGTTGTGTGAGAGAGAGAGAAAAAAGAAGAGATAGATTATTTTTTTTTTGTTGTTACAAAAGAAGAGAGAGATTGAATTTTGTAATATCATTATTTAGTAATTAATTATATAATATTTAATTATTTATGATCTCTACGCCAATTCTCACGAAACAGACGGAGAAAGTAAAGGAATCAAATTTGTTTTTCTTTGTATTTCATGACATTCCAATGTACATGATTATGGAATTTTGACGAAAAAATAAATTCAGGTTTAGCTATATTTTCAATTACTCGAATGTGTATTTAGTCTTCATGTTCTTAAAATGAATAAGTTAAAAAATTATTTAAATTTAATTTCTTAGTTTTTATTATTTTCAAATTCTTCAGTATTTTTAACTCTTGAATTTCACTTTATAAAAAAATTTATTTTATTAGGAATTAGTTGAACTATTTTTCCCAAGTGATACAATAATATCATTTTTATATTTTCAATATTTTAATTTTAAATATTTTAAAAAGGGATAAAAGTAAATGTATTGTGATGGTTGTAAAACATTCGTAAATAAATTTCTCTCTTTTTAATAAAAGTGAGATGAAAAAGATGATTACAAAATGAGGTGTAAATGTAAAGTAATGTTTTATGCTTCCTTAAGCCTTTAAATATTTTAAAATTTCAAATTTTTCTCCTAATTGATCTGTGCTACAAATTAATCTTTCAAATATCAAATTAATATAACATTTTTTTTAAGATAACTCAATTTTTTATACATCTATTTTGTTAGTTCACGGTACAATGTCAAAATATCTTATAAATACTAAAAAAAATTATTATATAGTAAGATATACTAAAAATATATTTATCTTTAAAAATTATTTTTACTTACACTATAAATATAATATATGTTGATATATTATTAATAATATAAATTCATTTTTATTATCACATTCAGTTTAATTAAAATATTTATAATTGAAAATAAATTAAGAAAACTATTATCCAATTTTTAAGAAGGTAAATATTTTGAAGTAAATTCAAATGTAAAAATTTATAATAATTTAGTATTATATAGTTATCAAATTTCAATTTTGAAATAAGTAAATAATTATGTTTTCTTTTATAAAAAATATATATATATGTGTGTTGTATATTTTAAATAACGGTGAATATTATCATATTTTCAATTTAATTAATTAATTTAATGAAATTTCAACTTTTGACGGATTAAAAAACTAATCTTTTACCTTTTTTTTTCTAACATATAATAATCACACTAGAGTTTAAATATTAAGATCTCATATATATTATTCAATATTCACTACTAAAATTTTAATAATTAATTTCCTTTATTATATATGATAGATGACATAATCTTAGGATAATTAGAAATATAATGACGTTCAATTCTCGATAATTTATGGATTTTCTGACATTTATATTTCAAGGAAATTACAAATATTAATTATTACTAATTTCTCACCATAATTTATTTTATTAATAATTATTATAAAATATAAATAACAGCTAACAAATAACTTGGTACTTTATAAAAATTTAATATAAGATGAAAAAATTTCTTCTGCCTAAAATATTTATTAATTAGGAAATATTTATTGAATTTTTGGTCAGCTTTGATGAATTTTAAATGTTTTCCAATAATCTAGACTGAAAAAGCAGAAACATAACAGCTGTCTTTGAAGAAAGTGATGAATATGAAAATAGTTCAACTACTACCAAAACATTTTATATGAATTATGAATTATGAATTGTTATTAAGTATGAACACGAATAACTGGAAACTTGGAATTTGTGAAAGAGTCAGACACTATGGTTTGATGGAGTCATAAATAATACTACTATTATATTCTGCCTCAGTTTGGTAAATCAGAAATTAGGAACTGCAAATTGATTAGCAAAATAATTCAATCCAGACTGTTTCATTAATTTAATCACAAACTAATTGATAAATATAAAATATATAAAAAGATATATACAGATATTTGAAGTAAAAAATAAAAAAGAAACAAAAAACAAAAAATTTAATAATTTATAAACTTAGTTACTTTAAGTATTTTATAAAAGTAAATTACAAGTTACTGAAATAAATTCATATATTAAATAAGTTTGTTTTGATCAAATTAATTTACTAATTAATCAAACACTCTCTCATAATTGCTAAATAGTTTTATTTTATAAATATATAATTAGTGATTTACCTTTTACATTTGTGCATATATGAATAAAAATTTATTAGAAAAAAAATTAATATTTCATATTTTAATATTTAACATTTTGATAAATTAATTTTCAAGTCCCAACCCAAAAGACATTCTGTTTTTTTCTTTTTTGTGTGTATGCATGCTATTATAGATCAATTCATTTTAGAGAAGAAACAGTACTTTCAATTTTAACTTCATATTTTAGCAAAAACTAAACTTGAACCCTTATTAACAAAAACAAGTGTTAAAAATTAAAATTGGTAATAATTTGAACATATTTTAGATTGTTAGTGATAAATAATAATAATAATAATAATAATATAAAACATTATCTAAATGAAGTGCATAGAGAATTGAAAAAATGAGTGAGGGATAGAAAGAGGAAGGTCGTGAATACAGCTGTAACCAAAAGAGAGTGTGAGAGATGAAGTTAGGAATCGCTATCAAATGCATGTGCCTCACTTCATTCCCATGCTCATCTTTTTCTTTTTTATTATTTCTTTTAGTCCATACACGCTAACCCTTTTTTTCTTCTTCTTATAATATGAACATATTGCAATGTTACAAGATACTACGTATTTACCTACATATTTAAGATAACATTCTAGTATATGTGCAACGTACATGAACACTTAATCTTGTGGTATAATATGTTTACATCACTAGTTAGATTGTAATTTGTAAACATGAATATGCAACTTTGAAATGATTTACTATTGATTTTGCAAGAAAGGATGTTCAATAATATCCTTTACTTTTTTCAAGTGATCATCCATGTTTCTAGCAATTCAATTATGTTGATGGATGATGTTATTAGTACAATAATTAATGAATAATAATAAGATAGTGAAGCAATGATTTATCTTTTGCATAAGGTTTTTTTTATTTTTTATATAGGTAGATAAGTGTTTGAATGGGAGATATTGTAAGATCCCCTTCCCTCTTTTTCCCTTCCTTCACTTTTTTGACTTTTCTTTTGATCTGGTAAAAAATGTGAATAGATAGACATTGTTTCCGACTGAAGTGTCTTTCAGTCTGTGTTATCCTTCGTCTTATGCGTTGTTGACTTTTTTCTTATCTTTGTCTCATGCTTGGTCCATTTCTTCATGTTGCACTGGAGGTTGTTCTTGACACACATCCATTTGATATTGGACTCATAGTCATCTGGTGCTCATATTGTACTTTGTCTATTCAATTAGCTTGAATTGCCTAGTTCTTTTGATGTGCCTGGCTTTGACTGTTCTTCTTTTGAGTTGACGATTTGGCTTCATCTGATGTTTAATCCATTTCTGTTTTGTTCTAGATTTAGCCTTTTCAGGCTTTACAATATTAACTAGACAGGTTTGGTTTGAGTGTATGGGTTACTCTCATAGAGAGGATACATATGTTTCTACACTCACTAAGGTATGTAACCTTAGTCTTTACAACAATTGAGAGTATGGTCTGCTCTCACAGAGAGAATACATAAATTGATACACTCACTAAGGTTTGTTCCTAAGATACACATGTTTGGAACTCCTTAGTTTATAGATATGAATACACTATTGGTACATTCGACTCTATACGCTCTATCTCTAGTTTCGTTATTTCATGGGCTTGATATCACTTGGTTAAGAATGCAAACATGGATTCCAACCTTCCAAGATTTGAGATAGTGATATATATATATTGTCTTGTAGAATCTGCCCATTGCATGTGTCCGTTGAAGCAGATATAGTAGTTTATGACTAGTTTAATCTACTCATTTAATGCTTGAGTTCTTGCATTAAATGTTGCTTCTTGTAGTAGACCTTGCGTGAAGTCTTCGAGTATTCTTTGACAAGCCTATCCAGGCTTTACAAGTATTCTTTCGCTAACCTCTTCAGGCTTTACAATATTAACTAGACAGGTTTGGTTTGAGTGTATGGGTTACTCTCATAGAGAGGATACATATGTTTCTACACTCACTAAGGTATGTAACCTCAGTCTTTACAACGATTGAGTCTATGGTCTGCTCTCATAGAGAGAATACATAAATTGATACACTCACTAAGGTTTTGTTCCTAAGATACACATGTTTGGAACTCCTTAGTTTATAGAGATGAATACACTATTGGTACATTCGACTCTATACGCTCTATCTCTGGTTTCGTTATTTCATGGGCTTGATATCACTTGGTTAAGAATGCAAACATGGATTCCAACCTTCCAAGATTTGAGATAGTGATATATATATATTGTCTTGTAGAATCTGCCCGTTGCATGTGTCCGTTGAAGCAGATATAGTAGTTTATGACTAGTTTAATCTACTCATTTAATGCTTGAGTTCTTGCATTAAATGTTGCTTCTTGTAGTAGACCTTGCATGAAGTCTCCTTAGCCTTGTTAGCAGTAGTGTCTGAATTTAGCAGAGACCTAGGAACCTTTTTATCCTTTTCTGGTCACATAGCTGTAGAGTGTTGTTCTTTAACTGAAAAAGTGATGTACTTTTTCTGACACATGCATGCTTTTACTTTTGCATGCTTTTCTTCTTCTTTTCTTCTTCTCTTTGATCACGTGTTTACGTTGATGGCTTTTGTGTGGTCGTAGACGATGCCTTGATTTGTCTCTTGAGATTTGATTCTTTAATTGCTTGTGTAGCAGTCTTCGTCTTCGTCTGTTGGTCATGTGCATCTCAATTTTGATCTTCATCTTAGCGTCTGAAGTTAATGCTTTGACTTTTCTTTTGATCTGGTAAAAAATGTGAATAGATAGACATTGTTTCCGACTGAAGTGTCTTTCAGTCTGTGTTATCCTTCGTCTTATGCGTTGTTGACTTTTTTCTTATCTTTGTCTCATGCTTGGTCCATTTCTTCATGTTGCACTGGAGAATTAAATGT